GAAAAAAAAAAAAAAAATTACGCATTTTAAAATTGCACTAGTCAAAATCGATCATCATAGAAGATGAATTTTATTCATTTGCAAGACATGAAATTGAAGATAAAAAGTTAAAAATTGATTATTCAATTGACACGATAATGCAATATCAACATGAAATATTACATAGCAGATACATTTCGCCCATGAATTAATGTTTTTAATTGTAATATTTTCGTAGATGAGTTAGTGTTTTTATAGTATGTTATACATAAGTAATTAAATATCATAAATGAATGGTGTTATAACGTAAAAAAAAAAGTGCTTTAAAAATAAATTATATGCTCATTTGATTCTTATAATTATTGTTTTGTATATTGTTAAAAATTTATTTATAATTCAATTTGAGTAATCTTGCAATAATCATAATATAAAAAATATATTTTTTATGCTCATAAAAGAGAGATTAATTTTAAGAAAATATACAATTCTAAAAAGGGGAAAAAAGAGAGAATAATATAAAAAAAAAAAATACAGAATTTTATTTTTAGTAACTAAAAATGTTTAGTAAAAAATTATACTTTACATTTTAAATAAATGTCAAACCTTTATATAAAACTAATATTTGACATGTGCATTTGCACAGATATAAAACACGTTTTTGTTTGTATTTATTAATTAGACATGTACTTCTATCATATAAAAATTATTACTATTTTTAAAGTTATTTTTATCATTCACAGTTAATTGAGATTTAAATTTTATTTTAACCATGCAACATTTACATTAGTAACATGAAAATATATTAAGAAAAACAACATAAATAAAAAAAATTATAGGTGTTTTTGATTTTTAGAAAAAAAAAAATATAAGTCAATCATATTTTACTTCCAACAATGCAGCCAAATATAACAGTTACAACTCTGAATGTGTCAATCAACTTTAAGTTCCAACATTAGCCGTTACACATTTAAAGAATAATGATTGATTTTGAATGACTAAATTTACTAATAGTTAACTAATATATTTGTTGTAAATTAATTATTACGAGAAATTAGTGCTAAATATAATTAATACTTTAATAGTAAAATTACGTTAAATAACATTTTTATATATAATACTTTCTTCTCTCCTCACAAAAAGCTTTTATATACAATACTTTCTCTCCTCACATTATACAACATTATTATATATAAAATTACTTTGTATCGTTGTCCAAGTTTGAGAGGAAATCACAAATATTATTATGTCACCGGTAATAATCTCGAGATGAAAGTAATGTAATGATTTTGATTTTTGACAGCAGCAGCTTCAATATTTGAGTTGACTCGAGCTTCTGATACTCGAGCTAGATCTCGTTAGCGAAATGAGTTCGTGCTCGACTTGTTTATCAGCATAAACAAGTGAATTCGAGCATTTATATATTGAGCTATATAAAATAATAAAAAATTTATATTTTCAATCTTTAAAAATCTTAATATCTGGTCAACTAAAAGTCACACCATATTATATTATACTAAATGTCACACCACAAAATCCTTCAATAAAAATACATATTGAAACAAATAACCATAACATTTCCCTCATCAAAATAGACCAACTACTAAAATCCATAATTTATAATTATATATATTCTTCATCCTTTATCTCTTTTATCTATAAATATATATATTTCTTTTAAATGAATATTCAGCCGAATTAGCTCCATATAAGTGTATCAGTACGTGGCCGGCGCCGGAGAAGGGGCCAAGCCGTCATCCACCGTGAAAGGGGTGCCACCACCGCCGCTGCTTAAAAGCTCCAACGCCGCACGTCTTGGGCTGGAGTTCTGTTTTTTGCAAAGAGCTGGCAAAAATACTCCTATAAAAAGTTCAAACAATATAATAATTGTAAAATTAACCAATCAATACAAATTTAGACAAAATCTCTAGTAAACAAAGTCTGATAATCTAAATGATAACAAGGAATTAGATTCTAATAAAGCGAACAAAATCGAGTCGAAACCAAAAAGACCAAGTCAAACCATGAAATTCAATGAAGTGCAATTTGATTTGATTTGACTATTCCAATATAGAAGAAAACTTTTGGGTCGTTCTTTTATTTATTTTTTCAAAGTTCAGTTCACATTTTTCTACATGTTCAATACAATTTTGCTATAAACTAACCCAAATGTACAAAAAAATCTAAAATTCGAGTCGAACCGTGCAATTTAGTTTGATTCGACTTGATTATGTTGTGTATAGAAAAAAGGTTCAAACAAAATAATAATTGATATACTAACTAATCAATACAAAAATTAAGATAAAATTCTAATAGGGCAAGCAAAATCAATCAAAATAAAAAAATCGAGCTGAACAATGCAATTCGTTGCGGTTATATTATTTTAGAAACTTCAATTTAGTTTTTTTTTTTCATGAGTTGGTTCAATTATTTTTTTCACAAGTTCGATTTTAGATTTTTTGTGGTTGAACCTAACCCGAATACATAAAAAATCGAGTTGAACCGCGCGAATATGTCTACCTCATCTATTTTTAAGTGTAGAAAAATTTCGATCCCAAATACATAAAAAAATCGAGTTGAGCCGCGCTCGGTCTAGCTCGTCTATTTTTAGTGTATAAAAGTTTCAACTCGATTTTTATTTTTATGTTGCAATGCGGTACAATTTGAAAATTTCACAATTTCTATTTCCGGATTACCTTCGCCGGCTGCAAGATTGAAGTAGAGGTCGACAATGTTGGGGCAGTTTTGGTAGCAAGCCGGCGAGCATAAGGTGGCGGTGAACTCCGGCGACAAGAGGGCATCGGAGGATATTCCGACAAGCCGCCGGTCGAGGCCGCAGGCGGCCACACAGCTGTCCGACTCGATGTGGCCGGAGAATGTCTCGGCCACGATTTCCGACGTCTGACACGTGTAGTCGAGGCTGCCGGAAGCCTCGTTTTTGTAGTTTTCGAGCACGCATCTCTTGCCGGAGGATGAGATTCCGAAGGCGCAGAGATTCTCCGGCAAGTTCTCGCATATGACTTCGGCTGTGGATGTGTATGTTAATAACAATTTAATAATATTATTGAACAAAATTTAATAGAATGAAAGCATACCTAGATATCCCTTGAAGAAAAGAGAGCAAGCAATGAAAATCAAACTCATTTTCATTGGGGAGCCCATTTTTTATTTTTATTTTCTTCTTCAAGTTAGCTTAATTTGATTTTTTTTTTTTCTTTTAGAGATTTTCTTGTTATGAAATGACGATTTTTTTATGAAATGTGGGAGGTGAACTTGTGTGTTTATATAAGATAATAAATATGTGTACATATTTATTATGTATGTATATATGTAACTCAATTAGGTGATATTTGATGCAAAAATTAGGTTGCATGAATTTTGACACATTATATATATAAACCTTATATGGTTGATATTATGTATAATTATCAGCTGGATAATGGAAATCAATTTGGTCAGACCTTTTTTTTTATATATATATATTTTCTCTTTTTGAAAAATCCAATGTAATATACCACTGAATTATGGTAAATATACCATTATATAATAAGTATATGAAATGTATAATGTGGTGTGCAATATTAATTTGTCATTTGACTGTTGAAATTTCAGTATTACTAACTAATATTGCCATAATAATATAATATATCCACACACAAAGCCGAAAATTCCACGTCAATGTAAGCTACTGGTGATGAGTCTCCTCTTAAATCTGGAGTGAACCGGTAAATATGAGATTCGATCTGTTCGAACTGCCTTCAAATCGACCAGTTTTTTGAAGGTCCAATTAGTTTTAAGTTCGACTTGCAATAAGTAAATTGAGGTTGAGATTATATTACAATTACTCAAAGATTGAGATAAAATTGTCGAACGCAAAAAGATTAAAGTTTATTTAGCAATTAACCCAAATAAAATTGTTGTTGTGATTTGGATTCTTGCTGAAGGCTAAAGACGTGTTCGCTCGTTTAATAAAGCTTTTCCAATTCATTCTGATTTTGTACATAATATATAAAAAAAAATGTATTATTTACTACAACAATAAAAACAAAGATAGAAAATCTGTCTCATCCATGTATTATAGTTTTTTTTTTTTCTTAAGTAATGAAGATGTTAATTATGTAAATATATCAAAAAAAGGTCATTTTGTCAAAACAATTAGGCAATTAAAACATTTGTTGTGTAGAGCCCATGCACTTTAAATGCATTGCTTGTTAGAAGAGAGGAAGAGTTTTCAAAAAGCATATGGGGGCATTGCTCATGGGATGATCCAATTTTCTATGTGAGATGTTTTGGAATGTATAACACTGACTTATTGTAATATAATCGGTGTTGTTAGGCACATTTAATCGTTAGGCAGTTATACTCTTTTATTTGAAATATGTATACTTGTATATTTGAGTAACACAATTTGAAAAAATATGTATATTAAAAAGTGTATGACATTTCATGATATAAATATTACTTTGTGTTTTTTTTTTATCAAATGAATATGATGAGTCGACCTGCACAACCACTACGCTGCCTCGTACACGAATTTGTGTAACATCACAAATCCTTATAAGCGACGACCTAACTGAGGGATCGATCTCACACTTATATTTTTATTTTTTTCGATATTAAATAAATCAATCTCGTAGCCATACCGCGAATTAAGTTTTGGGCGAACACTGATTTTGAGGGAGGGGACAAGAAGTTAAGGCGCAACTATTGCGAACTTGTTTTGCATTTGTAATGTACGTGAAGATGTTCTTTCTTTTTCTTTCTTTTTTTCTTT